CTGCAAAGAACTTCTCACTGGACAAAACCTGGGGGACTATGAGATGAGTGGTGCAGTAATTATATATCTGGAAAATATACATGAGAAGAGTCAAAAAATTAGGATGACTAATGAAAGGACAATGAAAATGAGTTTCTTCAGGTACAAATTGTTGAAAAAATTAGCTAGAAAGTACAGGTAAAAATATTATTCAAGAATTATAAAAGAACCATAACAGTGTTAGATTAAGTTGCACATTTATTTAATTGTACTTCAGTCAGGAAGGAAGGAAGGAAACAAAGAAAGAAAAAGAGAGAAAGAAAAAAAGAAATAAGACAGACAGACATTATTAATCCTAAGCTGGGAAATTGCAGTGTAGCAGCAGCTGTCTGAGGGAACAAGCACCAATGTAAAGCACGCTTATTATTTATATATAATAGTTTTTAAAATACTACAGTTGCATACAATAGTAAATATACTTCTCATTATTCTGGCAGAGGGTCTAATTTAGTCGGATTCCAAAGAACTCACGTAGAGTACAGAGCTCAAAATGATCTGTTCTCTAGAAACAGAAAATAAGGAAAATATAGTAAATATTTCTGCCCCCTAGTTAAGACTTTCTGACAATTTTGATTTTGTAGTCAATATACTTTAATAATTGCTGACTAATTCTTAAAGGTTTGGATCGATAAATGTTTTGTTTGGCTTCTCCTTTGGACATATGTCAAATAAAATAATGAAAAAAGGCATGTGTGCAGATTGGTATGAAAACAATGTTGATGTTTCGGAATAAATAAAACCCTTCCACATAATTTTAAACTTTTACCAAGAAAATGATGTGGATCATGTAATCATAACACTGTACTTATGCCTAATGAAGCAGATCATTTTTTAAACAATATATGTCAGTGAATTTGGCGATATCGAGGATTTGTTTTGAATGTAATCCTTGGCAAAAGGATCTGAACTGCATGATCATCAGTGAATATTTGGAACCTCTTAAAATGTTTTAACCTTATTGGTTAAACATGAAGCTACAATCGCAAAAGATCCAGCATCTGTAATGGTTTCGACGTTATTCAAAACTCTGCAGATTAGTTACAGTAAATTTACAGCCTGTGTGACAAAGATATCCATCAGTAAATAAAGCATCTAGTATTTTCATATTTCTATGCACTCACATTTATATGTAATGTCACAGAAAGCAGTGTCTTTTAATACAGTTCAAAACTTTTTAGGAACAACACCTTCACAAAGATGTGGGAAAAAATATAAATGATCCTTTTTATTATTGAAAAACAAAGTATTTTGCTAAATAAGTCAGATAGTTTAGATGATAATTTTGAAGCCTATAAAACAAATGAAGATCCTTCAGTAACCTTGAAAAGCAGAAGCTGAGTTTTGTAGATGGTTATAAAGTGGTTGGAGGGAAAATGGACGATTAAAGGTGTAGTGGAGGATGTTCCTTTTCTGGGTGGATCATCAAAATAAGTGGTCCTCCTAATTGTCAAGCATTTTGGTGATATGTTTAAGTAAGGCCATCCTACGTGCTTGTCCCCTTCACTTAGTGGTGAGTCTGACATAGTGGAAAAATTGCAAATCTTCTTTTGGAAAGTAAGCTTGAGCGATGCAAACAGCAGTTTTTAAACAGAGCGTGCACGAGGGCTCATGCTTGCTCTAGCATGTGTTTAGCAGGCGTTCCCTCTAGGGAACGAGTACAGGGTTGTGCATGTGCATTTTTTTAAAGTGAAGAGGGCAGGTCTTTACAAAAATTTGAGAGAATCCACCACGATGCCTTTAATGAATCCAAACATGCATAATCCCTTCATTTTAAAGGATGAGCTGAACGAGAAATACTACTTTAGAAATGAATTTCCACATTTCTGTCAGATATTAGCAATATCTGATATAAAGCAACCTGCAGCATTTTGTTGCACCTGGGGTTATTCATGTGTGTTAGCAGAAGCCTAATGAAAATAAGCAACTTTTAAAAACAGAGGTAATAGTGTAAAAGAAGGAGAATTAGAATAGAAAATCCCTTTATTGTCCCACAATGAGGAAATTTAGTTGTAACAGCAAAGCAGCAGGTATAGACAAAAAATGTATAAAAAAAGTATATAAAAACTGAATAAAGTGAAAAAAGGTTAAAAATATAAGTGCTGTACAGCAGAAAGGTGTTCTGAAAACATAGTGTAGTCAGTAAAAGAAGGATAAATAACCAATACAATAAGAAATAGCAACAATGGTAAAGATGTGCAAAATGTCAGCAGCAAGTTATTTAAAATGACTGAGAAAGGAACTGAACTTGAATCTTACACCTTTTAATTACCAAATAAAAAAAACAAACAAACATGTAATTCTGCAACATAATCATAAGAATATCAACTTACTGAACCTCCAAGGTATTTTCCACCCAGCTGATAGATGCCCTTAATCAAAGATCTCTTCTTGTCCCTGGCTTTGATGCCAGAGATCTGAAAAACATGGCGGCAGCTCTCCATCCTGAAAAACACACAGGCAGAAAATAAAATTATAATGTAATTATAATTAATGAATTATATTTTCTGAAGGATATCCTGCTGTTACACTTAAAATTTCTACCTAAATGGCTTATTGTTACATCAAACAAGGGAGGCCAAACATATATGGAGCTGGGCTTTTTAAATGGCTGGATCTTTTCAATTAGCCTGTTTTCTAAGACAAAACAAGGCTTTGTTTTTGGTCCACTCTATAAAGCCTCGAACTCAACACTATTTCTGACATTTTGAATTGAAAAAGCTTCATGGATGGGCAGTGAAACATCTTCAAACTTGGAAACAAAGTCCAGTGGATTGTTTGTTTAGCTTTTTAGGAATGGCTTTTTAATGCTTTTCTACTTTGGGAGAACTATTAATGAGGAAAGAGAGAGTGCCTTCTAGCAAACTTCTATTAAATAACCCAAGCAGTTAGGTTTAAAGGCTAAATGCAGGTGTATCTGTGAGGAATGTTGCCTCGCAGCTAAACTGTTCTGAGTTTGGGTGGCATCTCCAAAAGTACACCAAACTACTTTCAAATGCCCTTTACTGTGGGTGTGAGCAAGCTTGGTTGTTTGGACCGGTGTCCAGTTAGCATGTCACCAGTGGCATGACATTGAATCAAGCTGTGTTGAATCAAGGCAACATTAGAGCATTGTGCTTGGTTCCCAGGTGTTCTGAGTTCAGCTCCCACAGACTGTCACTCTGGGTCCTTGAGCCAGACCCTTAACAACACACTGCTCCCCGGGCGCTGCATAATGGCAGCCCACTGCTCCCCAAAAGGATGGGTTAAATGCATAGGTGAATTTCTCCATTCTGAAATCAATAAAGTTCTTTAATTACTGTAAACTAAGCAGGATACCTCCCATTTACAGTAGGACTAGATTTGGAAACTACTGCTTTAAGGATTTTATGGATCAGAAAAAAGACAATCTCCTTATAGAAAATAACATCAGAGCATAAGTATAAGTTCTTTTTAAAGAGAGCTTTAGTTAAACCTTCTAAGAAAGACAAAATACATCCAAACAATCTCACTAAAGTATCTTCTGTTACACCTTTGCTGTCAAGCACCGTTGGCATTTTGCAGAGCAGGACAAGTTTTGTGAACTTGTTTAACTTGTCCAAACAGCTTATGCTTTCCAACTCTAGTGTAACATGACTCTAAAACTACAAACCGTTCTTGTGGGTCTGGCAATGACATTCACCCAAAAAGTCCCTATTTTATTTTTCACTTTATATCATACAAATTAATTTTTTGTTTTAAGTTAAGTGAGGTACTCTGTTAAAGGTCCTACAAACATTCATGTCAAAATTCAACACTTTTCTAACATTTCTAGATGTCAGTCAAATTTTTGTTTGGGTTCACAGTTGCTTTAAGTATCTTAAAACCTAAAAGGATCATATGAGTTGGACAAGAAAGTATTTGTTTTATAAATTTATGAAATCATATATAAAATCTGTGAAAAAAGTACTTTTTTAGCAGATATTTACAATCACATTAAGCAGTGAATAGTCCAGAGACCAGAAACAGATTTATTCTCAATTTATTGCTTTCTCCCATTAATAAGTCAGAAAGCAAGATCCAAAAACAGAAAAAAATACTGCTAAGTCTTCTTCTAAACTTGTTTGTTTTTGCACCAAATCTCTGCAAACTGTTTTAGTCTCTTTGTACCAATTTGTCACAACATACAATGTTGTAATCTGTTTCCTTTTTTGATTGCTAACGCCCACATATATTAACAACTCCATCAAAAATATGTCTCCTACCTTTGAAACATTCATTGATTAGTTGCGTAAATCGTGTAATTGTGCTTTTATTCGTCTTTTTTTCGTGTCAGTTATGAACCTGCGTCTAGTTTTGAATGACAAACATCCGATTCAAAATTTTTAGGGTGTATTACTATTTTTATCCCGGATCTCAAACAATACCTTAATCTATACAGTGGATATTTATGAGTATTTACATGCGTATTATCAGAAATCAGTGGTATTAAACAGATACCTTCCTCATGCAACTGACGATGACTTCCAATCGCATCCAGGCGCGCCAAAACTCTGACAGTAAACAAACACCCACAATAACAGCCGTTACTGCACTGATGATCCCTCTAACAATGTATTCAACACTGCCATTAAAAAAAATATTCGCATTAACTGTGTACACTTTTGTAAAGAAGTCCAATATTTATACTTTGGGCCGATTTCACTCCCCGGATGGAAAAAAAAAGAGAAAAAGCCACAAGATGGCAAATTTATCATAAAAGGGGGGATATTTATCTACACACGCGTTTTGTTTTTTTCAAATATACTTTTAAGCTATCGATTCTTCAAATAAATATTATATAATACACACTGATTATGATATTTTGTTAATAAGATTCTTTTTGATATTGATATTTTAGTTTTCGAGTTAATAAAATAGCGAGTTCCCCATTTAAGCTAGTTACATGGTACGTCCCGTTCAGCGGAAGTCTTTTGATAGTTACTTCCGGGTTGTTGTCACGGACGCTTTCGGCTTACGGAAGTATTCATTACAACTGGATTATCGTAGTGCTTGAATAACGGGTAGCCTTTATTTCAGCTCTTCAATTCCTGGAAAGATTCAGCAGATTTATCCCACAGAGATGCGAAGGCAGTTGGTTGTTACCGAACCATAAAGCTATTTAAAACTGTAATGATTGCGGGTTTGTTGTAAGGAAAGGAAATTATACATAGCGACAAATCCAATGTCTTCATTTACTCTTTTTGTTGTATTTTTAAATTCCAATCGCGGATCAGTATCTACTGGAAGTGACTGTAGATGATGCGTCCCTCTGTTGTGGAGGATTAACTCGGACTGGATTTAAAAGGAATTTGGAAGAGGTAAAACACTAACAAGCAAAACACTGAAGCTGTAACTTCTGATCTTACGATTGGAGAAATGCATGTATATAAATAAATATGAACTTTTAATGATTGATTCCCGGTGTTTGTTCAAATTACGGATCTGATGCTAAATCCACAGTGGGACAAATCCGGTTTTTCTTGAGCGCTGTGATCTGAAAGCTTTGTGTCACTCCAAGCTGCTGGCTGTCAACAAGTCTGCTGCTGACATGCACGCGCGCTACTTAAAGGGAGCGATCAGGCACGAGCTTCAAACCAAACTGAGTAAACTCTGAAGCTGAAACCTTGATATGTAACAGTCCATCTGATAAGTCCTACTCTATTGGATTATATAGTTTTTGTTGTTGTCTTGGTTACGCAATATTAGGTTTCTATAAAATCTGCTTTAATTTTTGAAAAAGCATCATTTTTGTTATTAAATGTGTTGGAGGCAGGAATGAAATTATGAAAAGTTATGAATTTGAATGGGTTTAATAGGGGTCATTTGTGATATCTAAGATCTGGAGACAGAGGCTCAGCCAGAAAATTTGTATAAGGGTGGCCATGAAATAACCAATGTATACCGAGGGGTGGCCAAAAGTGGAGAGGCACCAGAACCTCAGGGTCAATCCACACTGTTTCAACAGGAACAAGCACAACATTCACATTTCTAAATAAAGACAAACTAGTTTCCTACAGCCTTTGCTAACAAATAGAGGCATATTTTTAAACATCTGTCTAGATAAAAGCTGTATTGCATCAAATTTTTTGTGGTTTAAGTTCTGGAGCGAACATCTTTTCCATTGTCATCACTTACCTACTTTTATCAATATAATTCTACATTAAATTGATATTTATAAGTACTGATATCTACATAAATTGATAATTTAATAGGGTTTTATTAAAACACTTATTTACAGTATCCATAATTTCACTGAAGACTCTTAGATGACTTGCAGAGACGCATCATTTTCTCTTTACGGCATATAACTCAAAATCATCTCTAATGTTGGTATACTGATGTGCATAATTAACTACAGTGGGTTTTTTTGACGAGTAATTATTAATATATATAAAATTAATTGTTTTGAATATTCTACTTGAGAGACAAAAATGGTAGGGGTGACCACAGGGGTGGCCAATGATTGGCTAAGGGTGGCCATGGCCAACCCTGGCCCCCCATCTAGCTCGGAGACACCAGGAGGCTCATTGATGAAGGTCTGGATCAAATACTGCTGGTTGGAGTCAATAGACAAATTAAAGCAGCTCAAATTGCTAAGGATGGTGATGCTGGTTCTGATAGATAAATGTATTTTTACACAAAGGATCTCAGTTGATCCATGTACTTGACCAATAGAAGAAGTTTGTGCCTGTTAATACAGCGTAGCTGGACCGATATGATGGATCAGGAATCTATAAAGAATGAGGGGTTTTACGCTGTTATATAATTATATAAATGTGCAGCACCAGCTCTTTTTGAAATCAGAATAAATTCTTATTCCTGACCTGCAACCTTTGGAAATGTAGGACTACTTTGACAAGGTAAATTGAGGGGTGGCCGACATGGACTTCTGGTATTTTCTGTTATTTATGTTATGATAGTAAGTGATAATAGGTGGCAATACAACTTTTTGTAGAACTTAATTTGGGGCTTTCTTGGAGTAGGATACCTTTATTATTCCAAAATTGGAAAATGTGGTTGCTTGAATCACAATTATGGGACAATATTACATAAAAATATATTTTCTAAATGTGGATACTCAGTTAAAATCAAATGTGCAAATTAGCGGAAGAATTTGATAAGTGTGCATGCATTTAATAATTGTGCATAAAAACAGTTACAGACTATTTTCCAAAAAAATGGGAAAACTGCAGTCAATAGAAAGGTGAAACTTACGCAGTTATAACCTGAATCCTTTCAGTGGAAATATTTTTTGTTTTATTGAAAAATATTTATTTCATCCAACAAATACTTTAAACTTTATAATTTCCTAGCCTATACGACACCAATAGTATATATTAACTAACTACTTCACTTTCATGTGCCTTGGTGACCTACCTTTGGCTTATTAATTATCAGAACAAGGCTGCTTTGTCATTTTACATGTGGGCACAGGGTGTTTAATAAAGCTTAATCAATATGTTAACCCTGTAATGCCAAATGTATCATATTTGACACATACAGTTTCTGAAATGTTTTACGTCTGACACCTTTTGCATAATTTAATGGTAAAAACTTTGCTCAAAATCCTATTGTACACAATCAGATATACCTGATAACAGAGGGCAGAAGACTACACAAAACATAATCTTGACTTATCGCATAGTAAGAAATTATTAATATCAAAAATGTATTTCTGTTTTTTCTTTTTACATATTTTGTTAAAAGGCCAAATAAGGACTTCAAACCAAAAAAAAGTAACTTTCTGTTTTGTTTTATTCTTGGATCAGGCTTTAAAGGGTTAAAATGTACTTTTCATTCTAACTAAGATTATGCATGGCATAACATATGTAAAGTGCCTTAAAGCTTTCAGTTGTATTATCTAATATTTGGCTATAAATTTAGGTTTTAAAGTGATAAGATCATGTTTATTGACAAAAAATATTTAAAGTTTGATCACTTTAGTGTATTTTATTAGGCTTTTTCCTTGTATCAGATAAAAAAAATGTTTTATTTAACTTTATTTAGAATTTGACTTTATACGTAGGCACATTTTACTGCCAAACGTTGGCTTAAAAAGCAAGTGACGTAAAAAAAAAAAAATGCATTCCTTAAAAAAATAATAATAAAAAAAGCAGTGCAATGCAGTGTTTTGGGGTGGTAAAATCACTGTTAAGCAATGCCCTCCTCCTGTGGGGTAGGTATTAGATAGGTTTCAGCTTTGTTTTGATCTTAGGAAGTGCACCTGTTTAATTTATGTTTCCTGAACAGAGGCTGTTTAGGTACTCCCTTTAAAAAAATGTTGACTCTAACTTGACATGTTCTAAGTGGTTTTACAGCGGCAGCCTGGGGGATCCGCTGCTAAATATTTCAGGACAAACTCATTACTGTAAATGGGGCGGTGTGGTAGCCTAGCTGGAGTAGACAAGCAGCAGCAGGAGAGATAGGAAAGTGATGTGTGTGTCTATGTGCGTGTTTATGTGAGTGCAGCAACATTCCTTCCCCTTGTTTTAACAGTGAAGTTGACGTCTCAGGCAGTCTGAGTCTCATTGCTGAGCCCAGTCGTCCCTGTTGCATATCTTTCAAACACGCAGGAGCTCATCCAACATCTGCTTTCTAAAGAGCTAACGACAAGACAGTGGAGACTGGACGATTTAAACTATTGTGCTAATGAGGCCCTGTGTGCTGCCTACCACACTCACCTTCACTTATACTCTCATCCTAAAGATGGATTGGCAGGTCAGGAGGTTGAAAGCAGAAATTATAGACATTCAAACCCACCATCTATGAATCTGTAACCATTTAACCCCAATAAATCAGTGATACTTTGCAAACGGTTAATGAAAAGACATGCATGCACAGAAATGCTCTAAATAACATACTTTATTTTGTTTATATACATTTTTATATCCCTTGAAAGTTTCCTCGTTTTTGACATTACAACAAACTTCAATGTGTTTCTATGGGATTTAAGGTGATGAACCACCTGAAAGTGTTGAAATATATGTGAACTGGGAATAAATGGAAACTAAACAGGAAAGTCTTATATCAGGTCAACCTTTTCTTTATAGTTCAAGCTCAGTGAAATTAGATTTTTCTGTTAATTTCTCTATAAGCATTAATTTTAAGCCTTTCACCACATTCTTGGTTGAATTTAGGTCTGGAGTGTTCGATTTTTGCCAAAAATAGAAATTCTCTTTTCTCTTTTTTTTTTTTTTTACTTTACAAAACTTTGCAAATTTAAGATAAGATAAGATAAGATGAGCTTTATTGATCTCACAGCGGAGAAATTCACTTGTCACATATTGGCATAGAAGTTAAAGAAGGTGCAAACAAGGAGGAAAAAGGTGCATTGAGAATAAACAATATATATTGCAATTTTATACAGTTTTGCTTTGCACTGATCACTCAATTGTTTGACTGCAGGATTTCATGGTCTTGAATGCTTTCTTGTCCGGGGACATTGTAACAGGGCTTTGCCGTTGCATAGAAGAGAGTTACTTTTTACTCACATACATGTAGCTGCAACCGTCTTTACCCTTCTATGTGGCACCAAAATCAAATTTAAGTATATAGCAGCCACCTTAAGGGCTGGAGAGAGAAAGCTGGTGTCTTAATCTCGTAAAATGTTATAAGATTAAAACTTGGTTGCTTCTGTGATTTGGAAATAGAATTTTTCTTCTGTTTGCAAATATGATAAATTGTTCAGCTCTAATCTTAACACATACATGTACTTTAATCTGAACCATTTAATCATTTTGTAGGCGGCGTGTTCAGAGATGCTTCCTTGCTGTAATTTGGACCTCTGTTTCAATGTCAAGCATTTTGCAGCCTAAATTAGATGTTTTTCAAAGGACTGTCGTGTATCCTTGACAACAAGGACATGTATAACTTGACCAGTTTTCATGTCCTTGTTAAAAAAATAAAAATAAATAAAAGGCAATAAAAACACTAAAAAACAACATCCCTGTATCTTACTGATTAGGCTTTAGCCATGGTGTGCAGGGCTTTCCACCACCCATGGTGTTTTGACATGCAGGCCTAAGTGTTGCCCTACATGCCAAATGTTCTTCATCATATTTTTTTAGTACCCTTATATGGTTGTTGTCCAATATCAAACTAGAGTTTTTATGGCTTTCTTTGAACATTAGCATTTTTTTCCAAAAAGGGCACATTTCTGAAGTGCATGACTCATAGTTTTATTGTCAACATGTTGTCCTGATGGAGCTGTGTATCTCTGCAGCTCTTCCAGAGTTACCGTACCACAGCTCTGTCGGCTCTTTTTGCTGCGTCTGTCAGTTCAGGGTTACAGCTATGGCTTGGTAGATTTTCAATTGCACCAGACCTTTTCTATTTTTGATGATTGAGCGTTGCACTGTGAGATGTCAACCCCCCAGGGATGTATTTTTATAACCCACCCTTAAATTGCTCTTCAACTTTATCAAAATAGTAAACTTTAAATTCACTGAGTGAAAACTCTTCCCCCATTCAACCATGCCTGCATTTAGACCCCTTCTCAGACAGTGGCGCGGAGGGAGCGTGATGATGAGGGTAAGCAGTAAGAGAGAAGAAGAGGGGGAGAAATAATAAAGGACAAGCTTAACTGGTGAGGCTGTCAGCGGAGGAAAATAATATTTGTCCAGCTGGACAGGCCTCCCTTTGTGCAGGCTAAATGAATGTTGAGCTTCCTGTCTACCCTGTCAGGGAGAGTGGCGTCGACTGTATGCTGCAGCGAGGAAGCAGGGCTGCGTGCAGGGAGCTGTTTGGAGTTTGACAGGGATTATTAAAATCAGAGCAGATGACGAGGAGAAGGGCGAGAGACGGAGTGTGAGAAAGCCAAATTGACACAGACACTCTCCATTACCTTCCACTTGACTCGTGCTGATGACAGTGTTGATATGAGACCCAGCAGCGCAGCACCGACATGGGATTGGTTGTTAGCGCCAGCGTTAAGCACCATGGGGTAGGAGGGGAGGACCTCACTGCTAGTAGACACCTAAGGAGATGAGTTGTTTATTTGAACTCTTGACTGAGTAGGATCTAACCTCATTGTTTATTTATTTGATGGGGTTATCTGTATTCTCTAACTGTGTTGTCAGTATGTAGAAAGCTTTTGAGACTAAGGTAATGCATTTTGATCAAGAGCTTTCCTACTGAATATGAAGATGCAGGGGGTTAAAAAAAAGCCTTTTCTATATGATCTACTGTCTTTGTTTTGTGTGTTGCAAGTAAATTGATTTGTGCAATCTAATAGGACACCTGTTTCAGGAACTATCACATTATCATAGACCACAGGAGCATGGAAGCAGGCCCTACAGACATGTGCATCGCAATAGATTAGAATACCATCGAAAAGTGAATCTCTTTCAGTAATTTAATTCAAAAACTAGAATTTATAGCTAGGCATTTTTTTTCTATAAGGTTGTATGGTCATGACTTTCAGCAAATTAAAACATATTTTTTTCTTTTTTCAATTGAATACACCAAACCAATGAAATGTGAAGGATAAAGAATGTTTTAGTAAAGAATTTCCACATCATGGTCTTCACCACGATGGGAAGGAATGCTAGATTCTAGTCCAACAAAGAGTCATTGTCAGGCACTATGAGGTGTGTTAGATACCAAAGCCCACCACAAAAGAAGCTGGCTTGTCACAGAGTGCAGTATCGAAGTGCAATAATGAAAAGTGAAGTTTACAAAAAATTTTTAGAAAATAAAATAAAAAAACAAGAATAGCTGCAGATTTGAGAGTCATTGTTAAACAATTCTCATTCAAGAACTTGAGGGTGTTGGTGCTGCTGAAGTCAGAGCTACGCGCGGATGCACCCAGGATGTGGGTTAAAACTGTTGCATTCCTCAAATAAAGATAATCAGGAGTCTGAGACATCTGAAAATCCTATTTCAATCATTCCTCATTTCAGATGAATGTAAAGTTTTCACTTCATTTAGATCTCAAGGTTCTAGAGTTTGAAGTTAGTTGAGGTCCAGTCTGAAGCTTACAAAGTCGTAGTCAGCTGGTGTTGGTCCAATGTATTTTATAATGTTCAAAGTCAGAGCAGCTGTTTAAACTTTTGGACATTTTATAATTCCAAGCCCCAATGTGTAATTGTCCATCCATCCATCTTCTGCCGTGTAGTCCTTGATAGGGTTACTGTGATGCCGGTGCCTATCTCCAGCAGTCTATGGGCGAGAGGCGGGGTACACTCTGGACAGGTCCTGTCTGTCGCAGGGCAACACAGAGACATACAAAGGCACAAAACCATGCACACACACTGACACCTAAGGACAACTTAGAAAAGACAATTAACCAAACAGTCATGTTTTTGGACTGTGGGAGGAAGCTGGAGTACCCGGAGAGAACCCACACATGCACAGGGAGAACATGCAAACTCCATGCAGAAAGACCCTAGGCCAGGAATAAGCCCAGAATCTCCTTGTTGCATGGCAAAAGTGCGACCCCCTGCACCAATGTGCATCCCTCTGTAGTTGTTCATTTAAATCAATAACATAGGATATAAAATGCCCTTTTTGTCCCAAAGGGGGGAAATTTGTGCAAAAACAAGTAGACATAAAATCTATCGATAAACCCATACATCTACTGCCGCTTATCCCTAAGAGACACAGGAGGCTGCAGGCATTCCTGAACAGTCTGTGGGGCAAGATGTGATATCATCAGTCCATCATAGGGCAGCACTTAGACATACAACCTTGCACACACACTCTCACACCTATTTTAGCCATTTAGAAGTAACAATCAACCTAACAGTCTTGATTTTTGGACTGTTAGAAAAGGCCAGAGTATGCAGTGTGACCCCAGGCATGCATGAGGACAATATGCAAACTCAATGCAAAAAAAAAAAACACCTTGGACCAGGGAATCAAACCCAGCACCTTCATGCTGTGAGGCAACCATGCCCCAAACTGCATGACCGTGCAACATACATTTAAACTGAATCTATTAAAATAATGAATAATATGAAAATGTACAATGATTTAAAAGTTAAATTGTAAGTGGAAGAAAAAATAACCCTCCTAAAGAAAAAAAAAATACTAATAGTGTGCAGGTATTATTAAGAAAAATCATATATGGGTAGAAAAAATTAAGAAAATAAACAAAAGCCAGTTATCAGAACAACATGATAAACTGTGCAGTAAACATGGAAGCAAAAGACACATTTCCTGATTATGTAAAAAACTGTGCCAACAATCAATAACATCAGGAACTTTCTGTTGAGAGACACAGTCAGGCAAATAAAACTGAAAATGAACTCTTGCTCAGTTCAAGAGCTTTTTTGGGAGCTGTTTTGATTATAAAGTCTAACAGTAGGAAGGATCTGCAGAGGCCCTTTTTTGTGCACTTCTGATGCAACGGACTGTTACTGAATGCTTGATTGTCCAACAATCTAGCTCAAACTAAAGCTCATAACCTTTAGAGTATCGTTAAGAAGGAAATGAGAGACATTAAAGCCAAGGAAACAGCCACTATTAAAACAACCAGAGCCTCCCTGACTCATAAGCTGAATTACCCTGTATTAATGCAGTTGTTCATGCAAAAGGACCCCAAACCTGTCATGATTCACATCTGCCCTGTGTTTATATTAGATGCATCTACCAGTGTTCATTGTACTTTCCTTTCATCTCAGTTATATCTAGTTTCCCGTTTGTTGTCCTTCCTTTGTCTAGTCACCTGTTCTCCTATCCTGGTTTCTGAGTTCCCTCCATAATTGCAAATCTATCCTTCTCCCATTCAAATATTTCCAGTCAACATCCATCTGCTGAAGCCCTTCTTATTCCTTGCAATCAAAGATCAGAGGTCATCTCTTAAAAGCATATTAAAAAGTAAATTCGCAATTTCCAGCATATTAAATCATAAAAATAATCTAAATAAACAAACACTTTTTAAAAATATTTATTATTAATTTAAAATGGGTCACTCCTTGTGTCACCAGTCTATATTATAGCTCATATATAGAGCTACTTATAGTTTTTTTTTTTTTTTTTTGTCCTCTTCACGATGCGACTGAGTTCATTAAGTTGTTAATACGGTCTAGATACTGGCAAACCTACTTCTATATAATTCTTTGTGCATTTTTATCTGTTGCTTATGAAAGTGGTAGTTCTAAGGCTCTAAAGCCAACTCTGTATCTGTGGGTTTTTACAGGGCATCATGGAATGGCCAGGAGAATTTCCTGACGACCACGCCTTTGTGGAGTTTCTAGTTCCAGGTGTTTCTAGTGATGCAGACTTTGAACAGTTTCTAAAAGACACAGAAGAGAAACTCAGCCTCAATGCCAGCAGGTAAGTCTATTTTTGTTCTCTCTTTTTTTCTTTTTCTTAGCAAGGAAAGGGCTGGAGCCTACATCTCATTGCAAACTTTATCCAGATTTATTTTGTTTTGTTTTTTTGTGGGGGGGATGGGAGGGGACTCTTTAAGTTTATTTAAGTATCCCTTTTCTTGCTATTCTACTGTGTTTATCACATTAAAATAGTGGTCTGGGTTGTAATTTTTAGGAGTTTGCCTGTGTTCGAATGTCTGCCCTAACCCCTACATAGAGAATTTCATAGGTCTTATGCCATTTTATATCAGTGCCCAAATGTCTAGTGCATGAAATAGAAGTGGAGTCAGAATTTCCCACAATAAACCTTAAAAACTAGTATACATTTTCAGTCAACAGATGAGCAAATATATCCTAGAAGAATTTGAAAAAGCACTTCTCACAAACACCATCTTTTTAGCGGGGCAAGAGAGAAAAAGATGGCGCAGGGAACCCCAGTCACATGACCAAAGGGGAGAGAAAAGTCCAAACAGTCTGTTAACCGAGTTCACCAAAAAGTCCCCACTATATAGTCCCCACTCCATGGAGTGATTGGGTTAGGAGTTAGGCTGGATGTTCTGACACAGCCAGTGTGTTATTAAGGCATTTCTCTTGCCCAGTGATTAAACCTTCCATTTCTCCTGTGCATCAGGAGAATTACAAAAACATAATTGTTGAACAGTGATTTATTTCAACAAAACATAAATGTACTCTATCCTTTTTCTAATTGTTAGAAGCAATAAGCCAGTTGTCCTTTCTGTAAATTGTATTTGAACAAATTGAGATCATGTGGTCAGATTCAGATCCATTGCAATTGAATCCGATTTAAAGTGGATAGTATTATATATTTTATTCAGTATATTTTTATTCATTACCACTCTACAAGTTCTTTTTTTTTTTTATTTAAAATTTTGAATGGCAAAGTTGTAGCTTTGACCTTTAGGGTTGCAATGTATTGGAAGGCTGGCATAGAAACACTAAGCCAGGGGTGCTATCTGTCTATGAAACAACTCCAAGTAAACTGTTACAACATTTTGGATAATGTAGCAATGGAGAAAAGCAAGAGAAACTAAAACCATTGCTGATGGTCAGTAGGTTTCCTAGCAGCTCAGAGGCATGGGTTAACTTTACTGTTAGTCCAGTCATAAGCTTCACACCATACATTTTGTTGCCTTTTATACTTCTCATTCAGCTTCAGTGCTTTTTTGCACTTATCATTAACACTCAACAAAAACAAATGTATATTTAACATTTGGCAGAAGAAGAATTCACAGGAGTTGCATTTCTCACCTCAATGGTTAGACTTTTCTGTTTATTAACTTCCTCTGTAGTTTTTGCTTAAATTCAACTTTAGAGATAAAAATTTATTTTAACGAGTTGTTTCTAAAAGGCTTGTTTTTTTTTCTCCCCAAAATCAATACATGCACATTGAAAAGGTAAAGAGCTTAACAACAGATGAAGGTTCCTTCGTTTGGAGCTGTTAAACAAAGATCCTGTCATGAGACCCACTCCTGTCTTTTTATTCATTTTATGGCGTTTCTAATACCATACATACTGTATGAATAAAAGGTTTGTATTGCTTCAGGTAAACTAATTATAAAATTAATAATTTCAGGTCGTCTTTGTGAGGACAAAAAAAAACATATTTGTCTGTATTTTTTTGGCAGATGCAGAGTTTAAGAGTGCAAATAGATTGATAATGAGTGAGCTGTGGGGACACTGGAGCAAAAGGAGAAATCTATATTTCAGGCCTTTTATCGTTTGTAAGGTGGTGAGGCTGAGGGCAGATGATGAAGGACAGGCTAAATGTAGCAAGTGAACAAAGCCTCACTCTGGCACCATTAGTGCCTGGGACTCATCCCTTCTTCGCTTTCCCTCACTGTCACCCTCCCCTTCTCTCTTTTTCTTTCCTTCCTCCTTCTAAATGGGAACATAATAATTGAAGATTCCACATCTTGAAACGAAAACCCTTGGGTAGGTAATTCAAGGCTTATTACTGAAGGCCGAGCCATTTTTCTGCCTTCTAAGCATTAAAGGGTTATTTTGTGTTCCTGCAGATGGGAGAGGGATAACCATTATGAGAACAAAGCATTCAGATAATGGAGAATGGGGCTAAAAATAAGGCAATCCTCCCCTCGCCGTGGGGTACCACTGGTCAGTGTCTTCGTTCGACTACAACTAACTTCTTCCTAGACTATTTCAAGCAACCCGTTTTTTTCTATTAAATAAAATCTGTTGAATTAAATCTTCAGCGCTTTCTCTCGTCCCTCAACCAACTCTTGTACTCACACCAATAGATCTATGCAGGCTTCAGTGGCTCACTTGCCTCCTGCCTTTGCTGACTTATCAGTGTTTGGGAAAAATCACAGAAGTGGAGGAGAGTAAAAGGCAGACCAAGGGATGAAGCAGCTTGAGTCACCAACACAGGAGAACTTAAATCTGTTTAGGGGTGAGAGTGAATGGCCTGTTACCCTGCTCTCAGATGTCATAGATCTGCCTACAAGCTGCTGCCTAATTGAATGAGATTAAGATGGGCTGACAAGGAACCTGGTGCCTCCAAATTGAAAAGTTGTAATCCATTAATCCTCATCAGGTGGGACGGAGCAAGGGTAGGAGGGAGTGGAGCTGGACGAGGTGGGCCACCAGGAAACAGCCTTTAATGAAGTGTCAGTGCAGTCATGGAGGCTAAAGACAAGCCTCTAGTTTCACCTTGGAAAGGCAAATGGCTGTAAGTGGTTGATGGCCGGTTTTTAAAAAGGATGTTTTGATTAAACTTGTTCTGGTTCTGCTTCTGGATGGGAAATTAAAGCCAAGAAAACGAAAGACTTGCTAAGATTTAACTGCATGCAAAGCTCATTTTCTGTTAATATTGACAATGATCTGGAGTTCTTGCAGTGTGGAAATGACACGTGTGTTGAGTCATTGTATCAGCCGTATCAGCTCTGTGGTATCACTGACTGGACTTGGGTGGCTTAGGGCACTAAGTGGCTGGGCCAATACGGGATATGTTTTCAGCTTGTTCATTCAAGCCCATTCGGTCCATTTCCCCTCAGAGAATGGAGGCCTTTGACAGAGGAGCTATCTAGTTTTCAGGTGGCTGCTTTGGCACTGATTGGAACACAGGATTATTTGAAAAAGAGCTTCCTGTCCCTTCTTGTCTCCAACTCCCAATCTATGAAGGCAGCCATCGAGTAGCGGAGCTCCAGATAGACAACCCCACAGCAGGCCACCCACACTAAATTAATTCTGACAAGGAACTTAAGATAACGTCAAAGCGCTGACTAATCGCAGGATTGGGTTTCTGTAAGTCAGGGAGCTGTGAAATGGGCCATCATATCTAATAAAAGACCTCCAGTTGCTTCCTCTTTTTTTCGGCACTGGGGACAAATTGAGAGGGGGAACACACTTGTGGCGTCAACTGTCTCCATAAACTGATCTGGAACACACATTTTATTCCATTAGTTAAATTCGAAGTCCATATGTGTTTGTGTAAGGTGATAGATAGATTGTCAAGAGTCCTGAAGAGTTGTTTCCCCCTGGTTTCCTCTTGCTCTTTTCTCATTTCCCTGGTCTTTTGTTCAGTTCTCTTCTGGTGGTTTTGCCATTAGGGCTTTTTCCTTTGTTATATCTACACAGAAAGCTGAATGGTTTTATTTCTTGGTTGTGTTTCCTACTGATTCTTTACCATCTTCTGTTCCCCATTTCTTTCTGTCTTCTTCCCCTGGCATCTCAGCGTGGTGAAAGTCATCAAGCTGGGAGCTAATCCTAGCAAGTTGATTGGGCTGCCAGTAGCATTCATGCCAGTGGGCAAAAGGTCACTACGTTGTAGAGAACTGGATGAACTTCTTGACACAGACCATCCAAAATGGCTTTATAACTTACGGCATAAAGCACTAAGGAGGGGTAATTGAAAGGTGAGAGTAAAGAAAAGAGAATTAAGTCAGGAGGAGATTCTAGAGGTGAGAAAAGAAGGATGGGAAATGGACAGTGAAAAGCCTGGGATTGAAATTGTGTCTGAAGATAGCGGTTCTGTAGTCATTGGAGTGCATCGTTTTAGTAAGTGAAGACAATGGTGAGATGTTGTTGAGCTCTATGCTTTATGAATGCTTAGCATCATGTGGTTTAAACAGAGTATTCTTTGTGATCTTTTCTTATTTTATTTTTTTTAAAGAGAGACTTTTTTTTTACAAACTATTTCATTACTCGGAGAATCTATTACATATGACGACTGACAGGAGAAGTCAATAATAATGGTTATTACCAACTTCTGTTCAAGGATGGTATATATTTAAAGGTATTGTTGAGAATGTTCTTTTTCCGGTTGGATCTTCAAAATAAGTGGTCAATCATTCTGGTGATATGTTTTCGTAAGGCCAACATGCTCATCCCCATTTTAACTTACCGATTGAGAGTCTGACATAGTGGAAAAATTGCAAATCTTGTTGAGTGATGCAAACAGCAACTCTCAAACAGAGTGTGCATGAGGAGAAATGGGCTTGTGCATTCTATTGCACAAGTTTAATAGACGTTGCCTCTCTGGAGTAGGTACAGGGTTGTGCATTTGAATTTTTTTTTAAAGTGGAGAGGGCGGGTCTTCTAAAAAAACTTTCTTGAAAAATCCTCTACTATCCCTTTAAGCAGCGCAAAACATAATTTTTCAATATTAAAATGTTATACATATATATATATAATATATATATATATATATATATATATATATAAAAGCATGATAATGCAAAAGTATAGATTGAAGAGTGTATGACTAAAGACCAGTGTTCCTGGTCCCCTGTTGTCTGCATCTACAGTATAACAAGGTCCAGGAATGTATGGATGATAACCTGTGACATTGCAATGAACATCCAAGCTTCATCGATGCAGGTGGGGATTGAAAACTGACCAGTGTGGGTTAATTCAAGAGACAATACATTTGCTCAGATTGCTAATATTGTTTAAACAGGTTGTGATTGACAGTTGCAATTTCCTCAGATCTCTCTGTGGTATGGTACAGCATAGCTGGAAAGCAGTTGGGATGCCCATGCTGACCAGAAGGAGGTTTTGTTTTACACCAGGTGCATGTGTGTCACCTGAGGAAGATGTGGCAGCTGCTCAGATTATGGCCGGTCAGTGGATGCTTTTGCAAATGTCCTGGGAAAGCTTGGGTTCTGCCATTCTTGAAGATCATTCTTTGACGCACACTAACTATCTGAAAACATTTTCCCTGACGATCTACAACCTTGCTGCTTGCTTTCAAGAACAGTTCTTAAATAGAACGAGTTTGAGGTCTTGACACGTTTCTGGATACAGAAGTTCAGTTCATGGAGGCCCCACTTCACAAATGTCGACAGGTTTTCTTGTTGACAAACTACCACAGTGCACCTTAAAAGTAATGCAGGTCTGTTTCTTAAGGGAGCAGGGATTTTTAATTTAATATTCTATAATCATCAAGGATTCACTGATTGGCTTGAATTGGCCTACTTTCTTTGTCAAGCTCTTTTAAAGATCTCCAAGTAGATTTGAATTCCTTAAAAAGTCTATTTCAACACTCTTTGTGATACTTTAACATGTTTTCATATTGCTTTTCTTACGTAAACCTTACTTTATTAACACAATCTATTGTCTTTCTAATTTTAAAGTGTACCTCATAAAGGTATATAAATATTTCACAAACCACAAAATCAGTCAGTTGGTTATTGGAAAAAAAAAAGGAAGGAGGTTTCTTAACATGAATTCTTCACTGTTGAATAAATGTTTTCAAATTAAATGTTTGATTGCGTGAATATAGCAGAAATTACTTTCAAGCAATAAAAGATTTATTTTTGTTTTAAATAACCCAAATTAATTTGAAACTAATGTGTTTAGTAAGTACCAAAGAAGGTCCCTAGATATCAATTCCGCCAAACAACTTTGTGGGAAGAGTTAAGTTAACAGCCTAGTGTCTGTTTTCCTCTTTAATGAACTTCAGAGAGTGGGTAAAAAGTGAGCTACAGATGGGAGCCCATTTGAAACCTGCTGTCTATGTAAAGTCCTGGGGTGGAACCCTGAATGAACATCCATGTTTTATGACTTACTATAAACACACATATAGCGTTCTGTTCAGTCATCCAATTTAAGGCAATCTTCCATCAGAGGACCTGGCAAATAACAGAAGTCTAATCAGAAATCTTAGTCAACTGATTCAGTTCTTGTATTTGCTGCAGCTTTTATCTTTTTTCTTCTGACAAAACACATTTACAATATGCTCCAGTAGATTTTCTTTTGCATCAATTTCAGTTCAAAACAGCAAAGATGATTTGTTATATATTTCTTTAAAGTTTAAAAAAGATGTTGTCAGCAATGAATCTTGATATTTGTTGGGATGAAATGTATTGCTCTCACTTTTCATGCACAGGGTAGTTTCCTGTACAATATGTATAAGGTGATTGGTGGTTTGCAAAGGTTGAGTAAAAAGCAGTTTAACAGCATCAAATTACATAAAATAAACTCTGTATAAGCAAAGTTTATGTCAGTCAGCGAGAGTGGAACATGAGAATAAAACAAGATGCATCGTCTGGTCTGCCTAAAGAAGAGAAATCAGAGCAGAGTGACAAGAAGGCAGTTACCACAAGACAGAGGAATGTCATTAGGCAGCCTTCAGTCTAGAGGATATCAACTTGGAACAGTCTATAACATTTTATCCCCTTGCGTTTTTCTCTCCCCCCTCTGAAATGAAAGTGTGTCAGATTGAACGGTTATTTAATGAGCTGCTATTGCGGGACATCTGGATCCGTTCATGGCTTGGGAGCAAGCAGGAGGCAGTTTATAGACCTGCGATAGGAGATGAGCTGTTTGATGGCAGACGGGCTTTTTGGCTTTGCATTATCTATGCTAACACATAAAGAGTCTGACACAGAGATTAGCAGAAAACCAGCTTGTATGCAGGTAATTTTTTTTACTTTGATTTTGCTATTGATAATATGTATAAATCACTGATTAATTTATTTTTCCTGACAAATACAATGTCTAATGCCTGTGGGATGGTAGATTCAATTAAATTAAAGAGAAATAGCCTTTTATGGATTTTCCTAATTATATTTCCCTATTGATTTTAGTTCATCAACACATGCAGTATTTAATGAATCATTTGAGCCCTGGTGTCATGCTCTGCTATATGCACTCATCTCTGGAGCTTTGTGTACATCTACGCCTGTCAATGAGCAGCCATGTGTGCACAGAATAGGAACCCTCACCCCTAAAACACTATTGTAATTATGCAGGTATGCCGACGTATGCAAGCACACACTCTGACACTGCCTTGGATTCAAATATATAAGCATCGATTTGCATGGAAATGACTGAACATGTTGAGCCCAAAGATGTCATTTCTAATCTGTCATATTAAGGGGGAACCGAATAGCTGGTGCCGTCTGTTAACATCAAAAGAGCGGTGTTTCTATGTATGTGTGAGTGTGGAGGGAAGACATGAAAAAGCAAAAAGTGTGTATCTCAGACGCCTGCCGATGCCTGTAATGCCACTTCACTCAAGATGCTTAGCTCACACTCACACATTGATATATTGTTGTCTGTGTTCATTACTGCTGATGTGTCTGTATCTGTCTTCTCACAGTGCAGAAGCTGAATGAGAGGGGGAAGGACCTGAGTGTGATGCTGTGTGTACGTCAGAGTCTCTGTTTCTGCTTCAGTTGTGCTTGGTTCTCTTCCTCTGCATTTCTGCTGAAGCAGTGCTTTCTTTATTTCATTGAGTTGCACTTGAACGACATATTGGGGAAACAATTGTTCCCAGTGTTGCACAAATAAGCAGGACTGGGAGTTTAGATTGGAACTGGAAGCCATGGGAATATAGATAATTATATGAATAATCGAAGTAACATTGCCTTGCAAAAGCATTGCTCACTGTTTAACCTTTCACATTTTGTCAGGTTACAGGCTTCAGTGTATTTTACTGTATTTTCATTTAAAGTTTGTAAAAGGAGTCATCCTGTGTACAACTTTGAGATAAGACACAACAAGCCTACCAAGATGCAGTTATTCACCTAGAGGCGCATTAACTGGCAAAAGAGAAGAAAAACAATGACAAATACTCACAGCTGATGTGTGAGAATCTGCACTGCGTTTTGTTGGTCAGTAATATAAAAACCCTAAGGAATGCATTGGATTATGTTGTTTAAATAATAGCGAAATTAATACATTTAGTGTTGGAATGTTTATATAACCAAACAGTTCTGCATCCCTTTCTGTTCAACACTCAACAAACATGTCAAACACTCATCAGATAAGTCCAATTTGACATGCAATGTCTTTAGATAATATTCCACTGGAAGAGTTTGAATCCTTTATCATCTGTCTAATTACACAGCTTCTTGTTTTTAAGCATTGAACAACAGCTAAAGGAGCTTCAGGCCAAAATGGGAGACTCCAGAACCGGGGATCGTCCTGCCAGTCCCACAGAGGTCCTACAGTGGTTCAACACGAGAGCACAAAACAGCCTGAAGCCTCTTTCTGCAGACCTTTTAGACTTCTTCAGAGCTCTGGTAATGCATTAGGTCAAAGGTCAGCTTTGCTTTCAAACCAAAGAGCTATTATTGCCTTTGTTGTTTACAACTTCAAGAAATATTGAATTCTATTAGTATGTGCTATAGAAATATTTAGGATCTTAAAGCAGAATAAAACGTTTATCTTTTACGAGGGGGGGGGACACTTTTTTGTGGACTAAGGCCAGTTAGGTGGGTGCTTTTTAATATTTATAAAAGAAAAAAAGAATAGTCTGGAATAAATCATATAATTTGCAGCTCAGCATTAATGAATTAATCTTCAGTACTTTTTTTTTTCATATGAAGACATTCAGAGGCTCAGCTCTCCCTTCTCTTTCTGTAATAAGCAATGTAGATAGTAAAACACCTCATGTGGCCTTGGAGCAGCAGTTTCGAGCTCTCTGAATTAGGTCAATTAAAGAAATGGATAACTGGAATTATTATCACCAAAATAGATCCAACTCATCAATAGTAAAACTAAACTAAGTGTCTTTTTTATGATAATTCATAATATGCATTAAACTGAAAATATATGTAATTATATCACCAATCTAACGCATGTAGAGTGCACAAATGTCTCCAAATCCATCAGTATGATTTTAGATTTATTGTGATAGATCTGAAAATTGAGTGTTTTGTGTATTTGTATTCAGCTGCTTTACTTTAATTCACCTTCATACAATCCAGTGCAACATTGTAGCTTCAAATTTTACCCTCATAGATTTTAACAAGCTCTTCACATTTGACACCAACACTGCATATTACGTTATGTCATCAGATCAACTTCTTCATGCTCCACATATATCTCTGCTCTTCACCTGTTTAGAAACATTACCTTCAATCGGAAGAAGAGGGCAAAGAAGAAGTGACCCTTCAGCTTCTGCTGAATCTCTCTGCCCGGTGTGGGGTCTGTTTTCCCTGTTCATCTTCATCTGCTATGTCTTCCTCTCATCACCCTCATCTCCCTGGCTCCTCTGTCCACATGACACACACAGTCAAAGATGACCCTTCATTAGAGGTAATGCGCTATTTCTCATTCAGTTCAGTGTTTTTTCCTTGTCAGGTTGATGAATTTCATTCCTAATTTAACTGCTAAGTGTTCTGAAATGAGGGTTTAATCAGCAGTCTCTGTTTTTCTGCTCTTCTACCTGAGGTTGTTATAACATAAATATTTCCGACATCTTTTTACTCGCCTTTTAGATCCACGTGGCATGGGATACTGTACGTCTTCAGCTGCGACGTTTCCTGGTGGACCGGCTGTCTTACTGCACCTCAGAACATTCTGGTTCCACTCCAGTGTCCCCATTGACCATCCATGAACGGGTCCACTGCTTACAGCAGCTGTTTTTCCTCTATCCAGAATGTGAAGTGCTCACAGATTATCAGGTGCAATTTCAGTCGATTCTGTATTTTGAACCGCTTCATAAATCCTACTATAGTAGCATGTTTAATATACAGCATTTTAAATCTGATTATATGCTCAGGCCCTGAAACGGCAGTATGTGGTGAATATTCTGCACTCAAGCATGAGCTCCAGCCCAGGGGGTGAGACCGGCTTTGATAGACTGGTGGCAGGTTTTTACAATGCGGTCCCGCATGTGACCCGAGCCCTTACAGAGGAACTCCAGGTCCTTTCAAGAGTAGCGGAGCCCCAAGTCGTCCTTGGCTTTTTAAACATAGCTTACTTTGGTGCTGTTACCCAGGAGCTTGGCTCCCAGATGGAGAGAGAACATGAAACTGCCCAAAGAGACAACACGGCACTAAGCAGCAAGATCAAAAAATACTCTGCAAGGTCCAGAGCAACAGTGGGTGAGTGCTTCACTTTTTATATCTTGTTTCATCCTCTTTTCTGCACAGTTTTGTGGCTTCTCTTTTATTCTGATTCACTTTCCTCCTTTGATTTCTACTCTCAATACTCCCATTTAATTTTAATTGACCAAATAAAGGTGAGGTTCTTTCTCTTCCTCTTTCCTTTAACTTTACTCTTAAACTACATTGTGTAAGCTAAAGCCAACTTCTTTAGTGTGACATCAAATTGGGATAATCAACCTGTGGTGGTTCTAAATGATAAGGCAGCCATGTGTAGAGGTCTTTCACTTGTCTGCATTGTTGGCCATGGTTTCTCTCATCTTGCTCTGCACAAAACACATTGACTGTGTGGTTGAGTTCAGGCTAATGACACCATGGCCAATAAACTAGGTACTGGTGCATCCTTTTATAAGTCTAACTATGATGGTTAAGAGTTGGTCTCTGGTTTAGGACTAGCTTAGCATAGAATTTGAAAGCTGTAACCCATGGGATGGATACATCTGTTCGTGGTAGCTATTGTACCACTGTCTCCAGTTTCAGTCGACACCTCAGTGGTGAATGTCTGAATCCCAAACTGCTCCCTAAGTACTAACCCTTAACTATGAAGTGTAACTCCCAGTGAAGTCATACTCTGTGAAGGGCGCCTGGATTTTACGTCGGGGTTATAAACATGAATGAGACGGCTCTTCCCTTCAATGGAAAGGGAAAGCATTTGTTCCTATAGAAAAATAGTTATGCTGTAACTCTTTGGCGCATGTTGACATAATATCCAACATTTGCCATTTTCTTTAAAATAAATCTATTTATCAAATAAAACTATTTCAAAGAGGACCTTTCATTTAGGGATTAATTACACTTTTTTCTTTTTCCTAAAACTGTTATTTTCTGTCAGGATGATGAAGATGCAGCAAACCAGCAGAACTTACATTTGAATGCACGTGTTTCCTCCAACACCGGTTCGCTGTTACACTGTACTGCACTCCACTGATGCAGAATGTCTGTTTAAGGGCTGAACGGTCCACTGGCCATACCCACTATGTGGTTTGGGATGGCACTTTATGTGGTGGACCCTTATGGGAACTCGCAAACAGAGGGTTAGTGTTTAGGGGCTGGTTTGGGATTGGGCAAATTTCCTACAGGTCTTGAACGGCCTTCCTCTTACAGTCCTCTCTAGGCTACTGCTATCACTGCTGCTTCTGCACCTTTTCCTACCACACATTTTTCTTGCATTCAAATTTCAATTTATGTGCTTATGTATAGCTCCCTGTGAACAGCCAACTTCTTCAACAATGACCTTTAGTGGATTACCCACGTTAGAGGGGTTTTAGTGACTGTTTGCTGGACCACTATCAAGTTGGCAGCCATGATTTTATAGGCCCTAACTGGACACTTTTTTTCTATGCGTTTTTCTTTTTGAATGGAATTTATTAAAGAAAGAAACATTCAATCCTGCTTAAATGTTTTAAGATACATCTGTATTCTCCTCTAATGCAGAAGGAGTTCTCAGTGATGTAGCATTTGTTGATGGAGACAACAGAGAGGAGCAGGGACCCTCATGCACCATGTCACTTCTGATCCGTCATCCCTTCACATTCTCTTTGTTTGCTTCATATTGGCCTATTTACAACTTGCTGAGAGTAAAGATTCGAGATAAATAAAAAAAAGTCTGCGAGCCATTGTTTACTTTTTCAAAATGGTACACATGCCAGCTTCCCAGAGGAATGCGGAGAGGAGTGCTTTTGCATCTGCCATTCTTCGATAAACACACCACCAGCCTCTCTACTTTTTTTTTCTTCTTTTTCTTTTTTACCTCATCCCTTCCCTCCCTACCTCTCTTCCCATTTTCTCTTTTCTGGTTTTTACTTTCCCTCTCCTTAAACGTGAGATGAGAGGAGGCAGCCGGGATAATTGGCCATGCGTCAGTTGGGCTGTTTGATCACGTAACGCGGCGGAGGCTACACACCTACGTGCCGTTCAACAAACCGTCAAATGTAGCACCGGAGGCAGAACACGGCTCCAAAGGGAGCGAGGGACCCGTGCTGTGTAATGATGGTAAAATGGAGCAGTTTTGCCTGTGCTGCTTTTACTTATGTGTTTGTGTTTGTGCGTGTGTCTCTGTGTGTGCGCAACACAGCTACAACTGGGATTACATTTTTGTGTTGTTCATGTTTAAAGTCTCCTCTAAAAAAAAAAAAAAAAAAAAAACTTAAGAGCCACTCCAAATGCCCGTGGCTCTCTAAAAAGCCAGTGCTGGAACATTAATGCATAATCTGCTTTTACACTCTATTGTCTGTATACTGTATGCAACGCACATAATTGTCAAGACAATTACGACAGTGTCAAAGAAAGTAATTCTCTTTTCATAAGCCTCCAACGACTCCTTAGATCCATCCCTCCGCTCCTGCTGTGTTATTGTTTATTTGTGAAGTAAAGGAAGGCGGTAGGTATATTTTGATGAGAGCTATGCTGGGGGGTGGGGTGGGGGGGGATAACTCCGAGGGCTCCCGGGGGAGCTGCGCTGTCTGTAGCATCAGCCACTGTCAAACCACTGAACCATTTAACAGCTTTCACAGCTAGATCTGCCTCCTCTTTTAACCCCACTGACTCAAAGGCAGGCTCTGACTTTGTACCTAGACAGATGTGAGGAGTCCCAACACCCCACCCTCCACCACCCCCTTCCTTATTTTTCCTTTCACTCCATCCATACATACTTCCTGTTCCTTTTTTTCTCATTTCTCTGCACTTCTCTAAGTGAACCGGAGCGAACAGAATGGCTGTGCTCGACAGGTTGGTCAGGAACGGGCTTTAGACTTTAACACACACTTCAATAAGTTCAGTGGAGATATGAAGGTGGTCCAAGTCTCCATGTATGTGTCTTTCTGAGAAGTTTTAAATGTAGGTCCTATTTTTTTTAAAATTATCCATATTATGACAGTTTTGTATATTGTGATTGGTGAGTAAAAGTTGTAGATGGAAAAATAAGTGTCTTTACCGTTCTATTTAATCCAATTTTATGTAAAGAAAGTTCAATAAGCCAATGGGATCTGCTTAGTACAGATATTTTTTTATTAAATCCAGACTGCAGGTAGATAAAATGGTGCGTGTTGTCTGTTGCTGCTAGCACAGACTCTTAAACAGAAAAAAATGAACAACCCAATTTTTGTTGTTTTTCCAATGCAATCCTGGGACAAAATCAATTAACTAATGTCCAACAATAAAACCGTGAAACAAGATCATCAAACTCATTGACATTTACATGTATGCAAAGTATAATTTTTCTATCGTACCAGATGTTACTTCATCTTATGGAAGAGCTTTAGGGAAGTCTGAATTGATCCAGACTTTAAAAAGCCATTTAATAAAGCCTTGTTAAAGATTTTTGAGGGTTAAACAAAGGAAGAAGGCTTAGCACTTATTAAAACTGATATAGTTACGTAGAGATGTCTAATATTAAACTTGGTGAATATCTCCAATTGTTGAATTGGCCACAGGTGGGTTACATCCTGCACTGGTCGCAGGTTTTTTGTTTAGTTTTATTGATTGTAGGAAGAAAACTAAGGTATTCAGAGGCATGAACGCTTATTCCGTGCTGTAAAACCCAGGACCACTTATCAGTGGAAGACATGATGCTTAACAAAGCCTTAACCGTGTAGCCCCACAGTTTTCTCCAACTTTGTTAATGTTTTTACCATAAACCGCTCCTAATTAAAATGTGAGCAATTTCATTAATGATTTAAAGTGTATAAGGTTAAGTAGGTAGATAGGTAGAAAAAGTGCTGCCGAATGTTAATAATTTGTTTTAACGGGTAAAAAAAAATCAATTACTTCTCACTTTGATCCAGTATAGGAATGCACTGCTGGGTTTGACTTTCTTCGAGTTTCCGATGCCAGTTTGCGTGTGCATGGGTGTATTTGTGTGCGTGCCTACTAATTGCTGACTTAAATTGAAAATTGTGTGATCAAGCCTCATTTAATACCTCCCTTTTGAAAATGCACCATTAGATTTCCATATGGTATTAGTAATTTACATGTGTATGCCTAGCAGATCCCTGTTTTTGTGAGACTTCAAAAGCTCTCACATCAGCTTCTCTGCATCCATTCTTTCCCCCCCGCCCTCCCAAACAATCGACCACGGGGTTAAAGCCGAAGTCGAGAAATTCTGCTGTACCATATTTTGATACCACTGATTTAAATTCCAGCTACACTAATTTCCCCACATGACGTTGGCAACCGCTTCATATAGATAAAAAAACAAGAAAAAGGAACTCAGAACATGTATTGCAAGTGCTTTCTCCACCGCTGCGCTCCCTCCCACCTCCTCGCCCTTTCAGACTCTTTGAACTCTTTCTCAGAGACAGCACCACAGCCTATTCAACAGGGAGAGAGGTTCTGTAGTGACGCGAGATAGCTCGGCTGAGGCACCGACTGGCATTGGAGGTGCTTATGGGGATTGAGGCTACTTGGGAATGGCGTTTGTTAATATTTAATAAGAGCAGCTCCTCACTAGATCATATCTCTGCCTGAGTTTATACACACTGTCAGGCAAGGACGTGCACCCGCATACAGCCACATAATTATGGTCTGGGGGTGTTTGTGTGTGTGTGTCACTGTGTAGCTGTTTGTGTGATGCCTATGAAAGGTGTTTTTTTTTGTTTTTTTTTTCTCCCCAATGCAGCTTTCTTGCTGCATTTTCAAATTATTAGGAGTTCTTGTTTAGAAGAAAAAGTTTCCACAAAAAAAAAACCCTGTGTTTACTAGTCACAAAGAGAAAAGCTGTGTCATTTATCCGTGCCTTTGTTCATATGCATGTCTTTGTCAGCAGTCATTTTCTCTAAATCATGCCTCCAGTGAAATCACGGAACAAGATTACGTTTTGCGGGCCTCGAGAATGTGTATAATGTGTTTCATTTATTTGCTTTTTTTTTTGCCCATATTTTCTGAGTGGCCACAATGGCTTTTGTGTATCGCTCTTGAGCAGCTCAAGGATATGAACATTTTCT